TTTCGAAGCCACTAATTTTTGCTTGTGTGGTTTGTATGCAAACCCGTTTTTGTTTGATTGAAGAAACGGCGACTGATGTGAAGGGGAGATGGGTAATTGAACATGCGTGTTTTAAGAAATGGAAAATGCATTTTCTTTGTTAGGTGTCCATTTGGAACTGATAAATAGAAGAAGGAAAAGAGATGAACAGTTTAAGACATTGCATATAATTATCTCTAATGTATTCACTATTCATTGATTGTGTTTGTTTCATCTGTGCAATTTTGAGATGTTTCACTTTCAATGTTGTGGTATAAGCAATGTATGTACCAACCTCACTCAATTTCTCTCCTTTCGAAGTTTATTTAGATTGTGATTATGTGATTAGATAATTGACTGTTAGTTGGATTACTTGCTTATGCTAATTAATAATGCATGTTTGGATCTACTTCCCCCTTTTATTTGGTGAAAAAAAGTTCACACGGTGGGAAATTGAAGTTTCCATTGAGCAGATAGTATCTATTTCTATCTGAGTATCTGTCCATCTATTTTCCTATCTTTTATGCATTATATATATATGTTAAGAAAGGGAAAGATTTGTGGTAGGAAAGATGTAATTCCAATTAATGAAGTTACAAAACTGAACAAGGTTGCATGCGAAGGAGTACTTTCATGACTCATTTTTTCATGCATTTAGCTGGCGAGCCTCAAAGTATGCTTTTATGCAATGGAATCATAAAAAAGAAAGTCTAAAATTTCCATGGAAGCGGGCTTGCAATAATGATCGTAGGTGCATTTTCTTCTGACATCGTTCTTTTTGGGTATGATTGGACAACTATTGACATCTAAAAACGTTTCATTTTCTTTTTCCAGAAAATACTGATTTGATGTTGGATCTTACAGGTGGAACAGAATCAAAGTCTATTTATACTTGGGGGTTCCCCTGTGTTGTTGTTTATTTAGGGTGGTCGATTTGCTTGAAGTCCCCTCCCTCAGTCCAATTTGTATAATCTAGGATGTGGGACTGTTTGCCGTTTGAAGAAATCCCTTCTAAACTGGCCTACATAAATTGACCACTTTTTTTTACTCCCCTTGCATGAATGGTTTTAGAATTTACAACTTCAAAAGATATGATGTCAACAAAGAGAGAAGAAATTTGTCTTTAGAAGTTATCCGTTTTTGCTTCCTTTCGATCACAAAAATGAATTGTATAAAAAAAGCAGAAGATAGTTCAGGTCACCTCCTGTAGGGTTCTATTGGTGTTGGTGTGTGATTTTCAAATATATACTTTGAAGGGACCTAGGTACTGAAGGAAAAGCCAGGTTCTATTGAGTTGAGTCTTGGGTGATTTGAACAGTTTTGTGGACTTATCTTATGAGTAATGGATGTAAATTTGAGGGAAATGGGTAGATTTGGCATAAAAGCAGAGTACAGTTCATTTTTCATCATTTTTAGGGTCTATACGATTCCTAATTTTAGATGGATGTCTCCTATTTTTTGATGTCACAATTGGAAGGAAATTGTAATATTCCATATTCTGGTTTTTGATGTTCTGTCTGTTAGTGTTTGTAACATTAGGGAAATGTTTCAAGGTTTAATTGGAGGTGACCTTTTGGAGAGAACATGTAAAATCTTCTCTTTGGCTTTTTAATACTATTATTCTATTCTTTAGTTATAGACTGATTGGAGGGCTTTCTATAGTTATCCTAGTCTCTAGCTTGGGTTTTAATCCCATGTCCTCTTCTCCTTTTCACATTTTTGTTTGTGATTATAAATAGTTCAAATCAGAACATAAAGTTTGAACTCCTTGATACCTGTCAAGGAAGGAGTTCAAACAGTTATTATGAAGGAAGCCCTTTATTTTGTCTTATGATAAGGAAGCCTTTTATTTTGCCTTTACAATTTGTGTTCTGGTAGTTTAATATCGTTCTTTTGATATTGGTTGGTGTTTCCTTTTTGATATTCACTTTCCTCAATTTGACCTTTGAATGAAAGCTTGGTTTCAAGTAAAAATGTACAGATATATAAGCTGCGACAGCAAGCTTTGGACTAATTTTATTTTTCTTTGTTCTTCTAGCATAATGAAAAGGTTGGAGTCGATGAATACTATGACATCGTCGATCTGGTGGGGCTTCGGATTCTATTGGATTGTCATGGGTGGCCATGCACTTCTACAAGATTCTCCCCGGCTTTACTGGTAATAACTTTGCCTTTTGACATGTTTTCTTATGGAACAGTAATTTTTTTACGAAATTGCAACTTCATTGAAAGTTGTTGCAATCTCCTTAGCGTTGAATAGACATAAAATGCTCAAACTGTTCAATCTAGAATTTTCTTTTTATGTTTCTTGATATCCTTTTTTAACAGTGGCTAAGTTTCGTTCTTGATCATTCAGTTTATTTTCGTTTTGATAGAAACAAGTAGGAATTATATTAATTAAAACAAATGTACAAGCAAAAGGGCAAAATAAGATCTCACAGACCTGTGTCTCAATACAGCAAATGGAATTATATTCGTTGTTGTATGGAATGTTTAACCAAATTTGGAGCTTCGGTGCTGAATCCTCGTCGTTAATTGCAGGTTAACCGTGGTCTTTCTAGCCTTTGACTTGTTCTTTATTCTCTTTTGTATTGGGATGGCATGTGTTGTTTTCTTCTCTCTTTGTTGCTGCATTCCAATTGTAGCATTTGCATATGCCATGACTGCCAGAGAAGGTGCCTCAGAAGAGGATATCAGGACTCTTCCCAAGTATACATTTCGTCAGGCTCCGGTACTTGGGACTTTTGACCGTGCCAAAGAACGAGAACTTGTCGGGGCAAAATTGGAGTTAGATACCAACCACCGCATCAAAGAACTTGCTCTTCATCCAGAGGATTCGGTCAGCAACTTACCTTATCTTTTATGTCAAACTATTAAGATTTAAATTCCATCTGGTGGATTAGTATGATTCTAACATCATTATTTCCCCTGGGGGAAGGTTTCGGAAAATTGCATCTTTTTCTTCATCACCTAGCTTAACTAGAAGATTCTATCAACCTAGGATGGGTTTTATCTAAAATTTGTTTCTAGTTTACTGTTTTCAAGAAATAAGCTTTGTTTACATATATGATATGCTGAGAGTTTTCTTGTGTGCAACTGCAAACTCGCTCTTGTGGCAGTTTGTTTTTTTTTTTTGTCACTCACTGCGATTTTTCATCTCGTAGTTGCTTTCGCTTCTTGTTAGTGCTTTTCCCATCGCAATTACGCCATTGTGCCAAGAATTTTCCCTTATTTGAAACTGATATGCAAAGATTTACTTTTGCAGGAATGTTGCATTTGCCTTTCGCGATACGAAGATGGGACTGAGCTCTACACTCTTCCCTGTAACCACCATTTTCATTGTGGGTGCATCAGCAAATGGCTTCGGATAAATGCAACCTGCCCGCTCTGCAAGTCTAACATCCGTCGGGGCGATACATTGGTTTGAGCATTGCAAACCCAGCTGAGAATCTGAAAGTTGGCATATTTCAATTTCAGGTCAGATGCTTTGTAGATCTCTGCCAACTAATGGTTTTTAGGAACAGAGAGGGTGGGGAATAGGATTTTAGCTGACTCCAACCTCTGGAGAAGATGTTTAGTTTTCTCAAACCCCATCTGTGGACAGAAGTTAATCCTTTTTTTATTTTTTTACTTCACTTTTAACAGGTGTGGGCTTTGATTATATGTATGTAAATTGATAGGAAAAGGTCATGTGCCTCTAATTTAATCTGCTCTGTGTAAAATTTTCTTGCTTCTCAATTTAAAGCCTTACTATTGATATTCCTGACAAAAAAGTCGTAGGTTCGAATCTCCCCCCTACCTATTGATGTATAAAAAATAAATTGAGGGAAAGAGAGGAAAAAAATAGTTAAAATGGAGGTAATGGTTCGGTTCTTGTGGCAGGTGGGTTTCTGTTTTATTGGGTTCGTGGACTTAAAAGAATAATATCATTTTTAGAGGGAGTGAGAGATCTTCGAAGGAGGCGATTTCATATTTTCCCTTTGAACTTAGGTTTCAGAAGATTTTTGTAATTACTCCTTAGTTTAATCTTGCTAGATTTGAGCCCGTTCTTTTAGTTTGGTTCCTTTTGTTGATGCCCTTGTGTATTTTTTTCATTCTCAAGGAAAGCTCGGGTTTTCATCTGAAAAAGAAAAAAGAAAAAAGAGAATTCTTATTTTAGACTTTATATCTATTTTATTTTTGCCCTTACATTTTCAAGCGGGGGTTCGTTTTAGCAAGAAAAAAAGAAAACAAAAAAGTTGTCTGGTCCCATATCACAGGTTTCTCCGTCCTTAATTTTATTAAATTCTTAACTTTACCTTAATGTATTAAAAATTTGAGAGAAATGGATTTTGTCATTTTACAAATAAAAAAAAAAAAGAGAAATAAATTTTGTCTATGGGTTGGTTAGGTTAAAACCCCTAAAATATTAACTTTTTGATAACAAATTTTAGTAGTTTTTTAAATAAAATGATATATTTTAAGTAAAATTAAGAATATTAAAAAATCAAGGACCAAACGGAGAATTATCTAAAAAAGTTTTAAGGATTATTCGGTATATTTAGTTTTTAATGTTTATCGCTCAATACATGTGATTTTAAACACATTTGAAGCATCGAGGCATTACCTCTACAGATCATATGGGTGAATTACTTTTTCAGGTGTGCCTCAAATGCTCTAAATAAAGGTTAAAGCTTTTTTAATTTCTTTTAAATCTCATAAATTCTTGAGTCTTTTTCAAATGCATAATTCTGGCAAAATCATGTGCATAAATCTAATCCAGATAACAGAAATACTCGTAATATTTAAGCTTCAATAGAACATATACAGAATGAACTCACTCGATACATGTGATTTTAAACTCATTCATATAAATATATATTCAGCAGATGAACATGTAGCTATGATAGACATTTAGCAAACGATTTATTAGAAAAAAATCAACAAAGATCAAGGTAGTTTTTATGTAAATTTTAAAGAAGGAAACAAGAAGATAAACATGAAGGTTTGCAGATGCAAATAGAAATAAAATTAAAAATGAGAGGTTGTGAAATGATAGATGCAAAGGTGGCTGAAAGCAGTGTTTGTTCTTGTTGCACAAGAGACAAGATGCAGCCTTATCTTTTGGTGGCCTTTCTGCTAATGTCTTTTGTATGTGAGCCATTTATACAAGAAACTAGCCATGATTCTTGCCATTTGGAAAAGTGCTGCATACGACCACCATAGAATGTTATTTCTAAAATTTGACTACAATTATTGGAAGTTTTTCCATCTACAGCAGTAAACATCAACAGTCATCTCTTCCTAAAATATTTCGACAATACTATAAAATACCTCACAAAACGAAGTTAATCACTAGATTTATTTTCTTCCCTCAATATAGTATAATTTTTGTTTCTCTGAGCATAAAGTGCAAGGAAATGGGGCAAGGATAAAAACAAGCTAATTCATCTTCGTTTAGAAGACACTCGCTCATATGGAAGCCATGAGTCTAAATACCATACAAATGGTTAAAATTTCCTCAAGGCATCATTCTATACCTTCTTTTTTCTTTCTAAAAATTCAATATGAGAAACAAAAGACTGAAATTGTTATCAAACGATGTATTAACCATTACAGAGTGTAATTATTATTCTTAGAATTAGCATGTTTATTTACAAGGTCCCTCGCCCTGAGACTGGCATAATGGGAGCATACTATATGTGTATTTCAGTTGGAGCATATCATAAGGATAGTAACATACATCTCTCAACTGATCCAATGTTGAAAGATTGCTAGATATACTTTCGCTTATCGGCTTTATATCCATCTTTAGATAGCAGATACTGAAGAGAGGTAGCTTCCAGGCATTTTGAGACAGTTGGATGTAATTGACAAGTCAAATGAAGTCACAGAATGAGGGCAGAGTATAACATCCATGTTCTCGCCAGCAGTGTTAAGTGAAGCTGCGACGGGAAGCACCTGACATCAAGTGCAGTGCCAAGAGGTTAAAACCTAAGGTGAACAAAGTTTTACCTATAATATGTTAACCAACTATTTGGATATCTTTTAAATAAGATACAAATTCATCATCGAGAAAATGAAAAGGAACAACAAATGTTCAAAGGAAACAAACTCTGAGGAGAGAGAAATACAAAGCTCCGAAAAAAATTGAAAATCTTTCAAAGAATCAAGGCCTCGAAAAAGAGAAGAAACAATAATCCATAACCTTGGGATAAAGAAAAAAACCCTCCAAGCCTAGCTTTGGAAAAGGAAGGGTACTATAATAAGCATTTTTCCTTTCTTTGGTTGATATGTGTTTGGGCAGAGACAACCGCTTGGTTGTCAAAGAAAATAAATTTGTAGGATATAGTTTGAACTCAGTCCCTCCAAAATCTTTTACTCTTTCACCGGCCCAATCCTTATTAGACAAAGCCGTGGTGCTTATAATAAGCAAAAATTTTATTTGCAACCGCAGAGTAAATCAGTTTCCTATAATGGAGCCAACTGCTTGAAAAACTCTTGGCATATCAGTGTTATATATTTTAACATGCAAAACGTCAAATTTAGTACTATTTCTTATTTACATGTCTAGAAATAAACTTCAAGATCAGGGGGTGTTTGAGTTACCTTATTTGGATCATTCAAGGAGTTCTCATCCATTAAATTACCGGATGTAAGTACAGTCTGAACTGACCCAGATTTCTGAATGGAGTATGTATTCAAACTATTTACAGATATCTTAAGATTTACATTGTTGCTTCCGAAGTTAACAATCTGCAAACCATGATTACTTATTAGTGCGCCATGAAAGTAAAGAGACTATGAAACGTTCAGGATGCAGTAACGTTGAAGACACGGTTCAATGGAAATGATGTAACTTGATAGATCATACTATGGGAGATTTAAGAAAAAATAAAAAACTGAAAGGTTCAACAGTGATTTATTTCATGCAAGTCACGTGCTAGTTCGAGATAGCTTCACAAACCAACTTTAATGAATTGGAGAAATTTCTGCAGATGCCTTATACAGTGGAACCTATCATTTGTTAACACCACCCATAGTGGAATGTATATCATATAGCCAGCTTTAAATATGCAATGTCAGGGATATACAGGGGTAAATGGTCAAACTTGTATTATTCTATCCACAGCTAGTAATGGATTAAAAAAATGAGGGTTAAAATGTTAAAAAATTAGGTTTCACTAATTTAAAATTTGAACAACTATCAACCGAAGAAGGAAGTAACCAAATTAGGTGAAGGAAATGGAAATCTCCCCAGAATCAAGGAGAAAAATTCAGCGTCCTGTTCTAATAAAAATAGAAAAGTGAAAGTATATATGGATATACATACATACCTTTATTCTAAGGTAGTAATTGCTATCTTCAGGATTTTTCCATATAATGGAGGATGCAATTAGGGAACCAGCAGAATTATCATCAAGCGTCGTATTAAGAAGAGTTGCTCCACTTGACATTGTGAAGAAACGTTGCACCCAGTAGCTAGGTGTTCCGTACAGGTGCGACGAGTTGAAGACAATAGCATCTGGATTCCACCTTTATGAAAGAAGGTTTTTCATTTTAGTGTATCGATCAATCATTCACATTTCATAATACATAATGCAGATGATGAGGCAAGAGAAACTGATACCTTCTGTCATTAGTATTCACAAAAAGTGGTGCGTAGCTTGCCATTTCAACAATATCACTGCAAGAAAATACAGAAAAAAGATAAATCTCAAACAGTTCTCAGTGCTGTCCTTCCTTTGCTTAGCTATTTACTTTTTGCTAGTGAAACCAGGAACGGACGAGGGGTGGGTCACATTCACAGAATTTCTTTTTGTGAGGGTCAAAAAGTAATAGTAGTTGGTAAATATAAGATGAATAATGATTAGAAATATTTTGAGGTCTACCAATTTGTTAGATATTGCTCTCGAGTACCTGAGTCTACTAGAGGAAACATAAATTTCATGTAGGCCCCATTTCCAATAAACATCAATTTGGGTTGATAAAACCTAAATGGATTCTTTATCACTGACACCATTGTACCAACATAACAAAATCATCCGTTACAAACATCAAATACTTCACAACGCCATAACAAAAAGAATAACTGAGAACGCCACTTGTCACCTCCGACCTGAACTTTGCTATTCCAAATGAACGTCTCTAAATAAAAGCTTCAGGTTGGCGGAGAGAGAGGGGGGTAGCTCGGCAGGTTTAACCATTATACTTCTTTTTCCAGTTTAGAACCATGAAGTCCTAGAGTCTTTGACCACATTTATTTTTACCAAATACGAAAACTTGACCCCAAATGTGCCCCATGGCTTCTAAGACTGGAGACATACTTTGATATTCTTGGATCCTCTATTTTGAGGGAAAGGTAGTTTATTTTGTTGAAAAGAAATAAGAGAACACTCTTAGAATTAGACAAGTTGTGGGAAGAGATGTGGACTCATAACTCCAGACTTTAAAGCCGATTCTTAGTTAGTTTGTAGTTGGGAGGGTTTCTTTTTCCTTCCTGTTATTATGTTTATTGTAGAAAATTGACCGTTCGTATCTTATCAAATCTCAATGAAAAGTTTGTTTCTTGTAAAATAATAATAATAATAATAACAACCTGTTCTTCTCAAGCCCAATGAGAAATCCAGCTTCACCTAGGGCTGCAAGGAGACTGCCTGTGCCAGCATCTCTTCCCGTCACAGCATACTCACTCACAAAAGCCTGGAGAGTAATCACAGAAGTTGGTTTGTATTCTATTCTATATTTAGAGCCAAAAGGAAGAGAGGAATAAAGTGAAGTAGGGATGAATGCACAATACCTTTGGACCACTACGGGATGTTTTATCAAACTTATGAGCCATCGAAAACATTTGGTTGGCGGAGGTATATATCTAATCAAGGGAAAAATTAGTATGAAATAAATCTTTGCATGCAGTCTGACAAGAAATTCAAACAATAAGTCATAAACAATATTCCATTTACAGTAAAAGAAAAGGCGATGCTTAAGAAGAATTACATGGAAGTCATAGAAATCAGCTGGGTGGTCCAACTTCTGAGATGACCCATCACAGTTCGAAATTATTTTGATGTCAGGATAGACACGTTTTATCGCATTGTAGATCTTGACATAGTTTCCTGCCCAGACAAAAGTTTTGTAAAAAGAAAGAGAGAGAGAGGGAAAAGTAAAACCACTGAATAAACATCACTTGATCTATACCACAGTCCCCCCTTACCCCAAGAATACAAGCATAGCCCACAAGGGGTGTGATTTTTTTTTTCTCTTGTTTAAATCATTATAACAAATAAAAAGTAAAATGCAATACTTCTTTGCAAAAAGAAGAGACTTTTTGATGTAGTCTTATAAGTGTATTTCGGTTAGGTTGTTAGTTAGCCTTAAGTTGTTAGCTGTTAGTTGGTTATAAGCATAACGGCTAGTTTTCCCCTTCCCTCTTCTTATAAATAGGGGTTATCCTATTCACTTGTACACTACTGTGATATACAAATAAAATCTCTCTTAAGTCTACAACACTTTCCTACTCTACATTTTCAGATCAATTCACTAAGGGGTTGATTGGCAGCTTATTCTACAAAACAGTTTTTAAATAATATAATCTGAATCAACAAAGGTCTATGCACTAACAATTTAGCTTGATACTCTCCTTAGTTAAATAATCTAGAAGTTCAAAATTATATGAAAACAGGTAGAAAATAACTGCAAAACACTCTTATAAGATAGAAAAACCTCGGTAGTTCTTTTTGCCACAGTCCTCATTTCCAAGTGCAACATACTTTAAGTCAAAAGGATCTGGATGTCCCATTGATGCCCGAACAGAACCCCAAGTAGAATTAGGATCTCCTCTTGCAAACTCAATACTATCAAGGGCTTCCTAAAATCATTACAGTATTATTAGAAGAATACAGCTAGACAAAATCAAAATACCAAAGATTTATTTGTATGGCTAAGGTTTAAGGACTTCGCATAATACACACTGCCAATGATTTTAGTATTGCAAATTCATCAATGTGGAATACTGAGAAAACATTAAGAAACATATTTCCTTGCCAAAGTAGCAAACATCAATTTAGCCTCTAGGACATGTATGGCCAAAATTATATTTTCTAAAATCACTTGAGGACATGTTATCACATAACCAAAATCACTTTTACCGTTTTCTAAAATCACTTCTATATCATGGTAAAACATTTCATCACATAGACAAAATCACTTTCGTCATTTTCTAAAATCACTTCTATATTATTATAAACTTGAGCACGGCTCAACTAGTCAAGACATTAGTAACTTTCTTAAAATTAAAGGTTTGAATCCTCATGCTTGTTTGTATTGTAATAAATTAATAATTATTATTATATTAAAATTTAGAAAGAATGGATCTCCTAACTTTCTCGACAAAATTTTCTTTTATTTGTAGTGATTTGAACATTTGACCTTTCCCTTTAAAGGACAAAACTGTGTGTTAGAAAATAATTTAATTCACATTTAAATCGCTGATCAGAACGAGAAGGTTGTGAATATACCTGCACAAAAGGTAAGATATCGGAAGTATCTACCTGATCTTGGTGGCTGATTCCTAAAAAGATCCAATTAGATAATGAGTAGCAGGAGAAAATAAATAAATAAAAGAAGAACGAAAGATAACAATCATGGAGTACCATTATTGAACACCCAGACTGGTGAAGCACCAAGATCTTCTGCCAGCTGCAAAGACAGGTAAGCTCAAGAAATAATGAAGTAATACAACCAATCTTGAAGAGGAGTATCAATTATAAAATTTTAAACTAGGGGTTTTTATCACAACTTTATGGTAAAATATCAATTATGAGATAAAAATTAATTAGAAACTATCAATATTCAAGGGGGTTCCACTTGTCCCAGCTTGGTTTTCTTTCTAATTTTCATGGAAATTACAGCAATTTCTTGACCGTTCCATCCCTTCACTAACTCGCTGCAGTTCACCCTTTTAACCTTTTCTTCAAATGTTTCTAAATTCTTTATGACATGGTAATTGTGTCCCACCGTGGGGTTAAAGATCAACTTGATCTTGTATTTCTTCCTTCAACCCATGAATATACCTAGCAATCTGATGATATTCAACTTTGACAAGGTCCATTAGTGCATTGAGCTTGTACCACTCCTGAATAGCTAATAAACCCTACTCGAAATAGAACCAACTACAATATTAGATGATTCCCTTCCATCACTTATGCAAACCACCTCCCTTTTGATTTTGGACTGATTTAAGTCCTATAGATTTTTGTTTTCATTATTTTGTTTCTCTTTTCTATTTTTCTCCCCGTTTCCTCATTTTGTTACCATAGGAGGATATCTTAGGGGCAACTCCTTTTGTTGCACTAGTAGATCCGCATATTTCTTGTTTTAAAGAAAATTTATGTTGCTATCTCAAGAAAAAAAAAATTAATAATAATAATAATAATATTGACAGAAGCAAGATCCTTGTTTTAGTTTTTCGAGGTCTCAAAAAATTTAAATAGCCGTCCTCCATGAAACTAAATACGACACTCACTTGGAGAAATTCGAAATAGCCAAGTCCATCGTCAGTCCAGTACATCCAAACATCACCAAAGTGTCCAGGTCTCTGTTCCCATGGTCCAACCGTTTCTTTCCACCGAAATGCATTTCTTAACCATTCACCTTCGACGAAGCATCCACCTACATTGATATGATTAAGAAAAAAAGACTGCCTATCAATTAGCACAAGCTTTGGGGACATCAAGAAGAAACCTCGTTTATTTCCAGCAAGTACAACAAGTTATCAATAACCATGAGTTGTCATAATTGAGGCATGATCTATGAAGTGTACTTCACAAAAGAACAAGTCCAACATTCAAAGCAAAAAAAATTATGGATCTTAAACGAGGACTAAAGTTTGAAATTTGTAGCATAAATAATTCAAACATTAATGACAGCCTGACAGGATTTGGGGGAGATGGAAAAACAAAACAGACGAAACATGCATAGTTACATCCATTCACAATAGAGCTTGAACTTTCAAGAAAAAATAGTATATTCCAAAGAGTATTTTGCTTGAAAGCTCTTTTGATGAGGACGAGTGCCAAGCTATTCCTGAGTTAGGTAGGGAGAATTCTCCCGGTTCCAAGAAGAATGAAGTTTCTATGGGGTTGTGCTATTAGGGCTTTTGTTTGGCACCTATGGCTAGAGAGAAATCAAAGGACTTTTGAGGATAAAGAAACTTCTTTTGAGATTTTTTTAAGAAATGTACAGCACACTGCTTCTTGGTGGTGCATTAGTTATAGAAAATTCTTTTGTAACTACAACCTCTCCATGGTTATCAACAATTGGAAAGAGTTGTTTTAGTCTTTGGGTGGGGTTCCCTCTACCCCAGCCCTTAGGTTATCTTCTATTGTTGAATTAATACACAAGTTTCTTATCCCAAAAAAAAAAAAAAAGAATTCTCCCGGTTCCAATTGCCTTTCAAATTTCAATAAATATTGGAAGTTCTAAACACAGATTTGTTAAGGGTCACTCAAAATATTCAGAATCAAGGGATGGTATTTTCCATTACTTGCATCTTTCTCTGAAGACAGCAACACTCATTAGAACGAGTGACTTTTGGCCTAATGGCCTTGAAAGTGTAACCGCCTTTATAACATTATCTTAAAGGACCTGGGTCAACAGAGTGAAATTTGACTAATCAGACACATCTCTTTTAATCTAGGGGCATTAATTACTGAACCTGGATGTGATTCTGGTGGCTAATGAAGCAGTTGAAAGGAATAAGATTCAAAAGAAAGAGGGAGTAGTGGCTAAAATAGGGCTACAAAAAGGCCTTCGTAACATCAAAAGATCATTTAAGCTGTAATCAGTAAAAGGGGAGATAAAACGTTTACACCAGCCAAGAGCCACAACAAAAACACCATTGAAAAATCTATGAAAATATCATTCTCAAGTTGTTCTTAAAAATGGCCCAATGCAAAAAAAAATTTAAGTAAAAGGGATTGGTAAAGGAGATCCCCTGTAATCTTTCTTGTTCGTCTTGGTGGCTAATTCTTTGATTTGCCTTGTTGGTAGCGCTAGTGAATCCAAATTCGTGGCTAGGAGGAAGAGGAACGAAGTTCACCAAACATATCCCCAATTTGCAAATGATACAATCCAAATCTCCAAGGAATAGGACTAAAATGAGGAATACTATTCAGATTTTCAGGATCAACAAGTGTTTCCTAGGGTAAAAATTAATATGGAGACAGGCTCTTCAGCAGGAAACAAATTAAACATGGAAAAAGTTAACAGAGTAGCCTCCTCACTTTCTAGTTCAGTGGGCAAGTGGCTTCTCATATATCCTGGTATTCTGCTGGGAGATACTTTAAGGTTGTGCTTCTACGGATCCAATTATTGGAAAACTTAGGCTGAGACTTTGGAGGTCAAAGGCAGCTTCTTTGTCTAACAGGGAAGAATTAAACTTAATCAAATCGTTCTGGCCGAACATGCCCTCCTACTTTGGTTCTCCATTAAAAATCACTACCAAGGTAGCTTAAAACTTTGGAGAACAGTAACAATAAATATCTCTAGGAGGTGTTTGAACATGGGGAGAGGAACCAGCCATTAATTGAGCTGGAGTTTTGGATATAAGTTACTCGTGAAAGAAGAACTTGGCACTTTCCAAGGAATAGATGAGGAGATTTCTCATTAAGTCTAATTTCTTAGGTCATGTTGTCTTTCAGCATGCAGTGATTTGCAATCAGTGAGTGCTAGAGCAATAGACGAATGAGAGCAGGCAGAGTACATTGAACTCTGTGGCCAAAAACATGTTTCTTTTTCTTCCCAAGACTAAATTCAAGGTGAAAAATGGCAAGAAGGTAAGATTCCAAGAGGATGTTTCGCACATGATTCATCTTTCTTCTTTTCTTTTCTTTTTTTTTTATAACTAGAAAAATACTTTTTTGTTACTAACAAGAAAAAAGTATGAAAGAGAGGGAAAGGTAAAATATCCTCCCTCCAAGCCAGAATGTAGATGCATCCGTACACTTCCCTCCAACTTAAGTGGAGAGAAAATGATAAATGGAATCAATAATTACCTGGAAATCTAATAAACCGGGGTTCCAAATCAGCCATCATTTGTACTAGATCATTCCGAAAACCATGTCCCTGCATAATGGTAATGATTACAATGGTAAGGAAGGTGAAATATATGATTTCTGTCCAATAAGAAAATTTGACTGCTCGTCTAACGTTGTTTAGCATCTCATATATGTTAATAATAGGTCCTATACGTAAAACAGCTTTAAAATGTTAGGAGGCATATCCAAGTTAGTGTTGGACTAAATTCTGCATTATATTCTACATCCTAAACCAGGGAGTGCGAGTGGAACACCAATAATGTCTCTGACGTAGAGCTTCCCCCCATACACCGATTGACATGTCTAATAGTATCAGATATCAAATAATGATGAACAAGCATTTTTCCTAGTATTTGGCAACATATCATTAGTATTTAGTCGACATTTCATCCCAGTGTTGACTTAGATTGCATAGGTGGAAGAAAATCAAACACAGTTAAGAGATTACTTAATATTCAATTAATGTTCTCATAGCCAAGGCATCGTAAGAAATTGGTGGTACTTTGTAATAGTATGAACATGAGGAGAACCTACCAATCTCTGTGTCTTGTCCCCTTATACAAGAGAAGGTATCAGTTTGATGCCCAAACCCAGCAATTAAACTAAGACGTTATTTATATTCCAAGTTCCACAGCAATGTGAGATCTTGTTCCCATTACATTCTCAGAGAAAGTCAAGTGGGCAATGGTAACTCCAGAAACAAATTTCTCAAATTATATGGTGCAAAATGCAAATACTAATTATACGCAGATAGATATATCATGTCAATGCATTCAAAAATCACACGACACTGTCAGAATTGATTTTCAACTTTTTTTCATACTTTGGAATTGACTCCTGGGGATTTGTTCCAAGATTCTATATCACATATGGCAATTCTAGAAAAATCAAAATTTAAGTAGAGGAGAAGAGAATATAATGAACAGTTCGTGTACAGTGTACAACTGCAACTGAAAACCAATTTATCTTCTTTCCCATAGAAATCATCTGACTATTCTACTATTACTTGAGAATATATCTAACTATTGTACTATTACTTGAGAATATTTCAGCAACACGAACTGCTTGAAGGGTTCGGAGAAGAAGTATTTGAATTTACTGAAGAGGTTAAAGCAAAAACAAAAGAAGTCATGCTTTCAACTGCTGAACCAATAAAGTTGTTTCATACTGATACTAACAATAATACACTTCACCTATCGATGGAGAAGAATAATGCACATGAACCATTTCGAAATAAGCAGACCAAAGCTTCGGTTCCCAGAATGGGCATATGTACAAACATTAATACAGTGTTTAGCACAATAAACTGAAAACTAAGGGGAATATGTGATGCAAAACCCCAAACTCATCAAGTCCCATCAACTCAGTAGTATGATGACATACTGTTGGGTCAAACACTGTAATCCTAAACTTCCATCTTTGAGTTGAATTTCTTGAGAGAAAAAAATAAAGAATAGAAAGCATCTTCTGGACAAATGTTTTGAACTGTAGAAATATAGAAAAAGTGACCAAATTTAACAACATCAAAAAAAAAGTTTAAACTTTAATCGACCAGAAGTTTGGACAACTCAGAAAATTACAATAAAACCCACAAAAATGCATTTTATGAACAATATTGAAAAAGTGAACAGTCTCCATTTAAATTCACTTTGATGTGCTAAAAACAAATTGCAGATTTAGCAAACTGATACCTGATTAAAACTACAAACAGACATATTGAGACAAAATACCTTATATGTTTCCAGAGGCATGGCGGAGACTTGATCAAACCATATTACCCCTTTTCTCGAAGTTGTCAACTGAAGCCGTGCATTGTGATTAGTTTCAGAGGCATTCAGTTGAACCTCCATCTTTGTCCAGTTCGACACATCAGAAGATCTATAAGGCAATTAACTTATACTGAATAGTCATTCCACCAAGGAATTCTATTGAAAAATTCAGACAGGCTCACATGATAAATGCAGTTGCCAACTTTTTCAGGCCACTCGAATCGGTCAACGAAACAGACACATTAATTGGTCCCAAGGATCGAACGAAAAGAGTCACTTTGTATGCCTTCCCTTGTTCAATATTCTGGAGAGAGAAAGAGAGAGAAAATCAGAAAAACAGATCATAATATTTTAGAAAAGGGACCTTCATATTTAAGAGGAAAGGGTCCAGCAAATTCCTAAGCATAAAAAGCATGGGAAATAAATTCCCTCCCAAAGAGGTCTTACCATGCCCCAGAATCCAGGGTTGTAGATACCAACTCCTCCTGTTGGACAGATATTGGCAGCTCCAGATTCACTGCCACACAACACCTCCATACGGAGGGCAACCTTATTCCGGTCAAAGCAGGATGAGCGATCTGTTGATACGATTATAGTTGATTCATCTCCAATGATTGACCAAGGATTAATATTAGATGGAGTATTTGGACCCCCAGCTTCAAATCCTGTTAATAAAAGATCATGAAGATTTCATCTACAGCATCTGGCTTTTATTTTAATTGAAAACAAATATATATCCTCCATGGTTCCACCTAAGTAAACACAAGATACTTTCAGAACAGAAAACCAAGAAATGCATTGGCTGATTTAGTAAACAAGTCTCTATTAAAAATGAATTACAAATGCAAAAACTCAATAAACACCCCAAGCCCTTCATCAATAATATATACAGAATGGTGGTTCCACTGTTAAGAATTCATCACCCATCATACTTACATTGAAAAATGAAATCATTACAACATCTTCTTTACAAATGCAAGTCTCAATTGTCTGAATGCTTTAGACAATTGTAGGTCTATCTTAACAATATCTTCCTAGTTAAAGTTTAGCTCTGAATCAACTAATAAATAAATAAATAAAAGGCTAAAAGCAAATAGTGACCGTAACTAAAATAATAGAAATCTCCCTCCATGATTAATTTATGCTATTTTCCTCAGAAAAACGAAGAAATTGGGTTATCAGATCTGACCTCTGTTGCTCACAAGCTCTGCCCATATTCCACCAGCACCTGCATGATTAATTTCCTGTACAAGAAAAAGCATCGAAAAGAAGCTTACCCCCTTTTATTTTGAAATTATAACAAAACTTTCCATTTAATAAGATGAAAATAGTTACATGCGGGAAAAACAAGCCCCTTGATATTTTTCTCAAAAGTAACAGGCCCCTAGCTTACAAAAGGAAGCCCCAATTTGTAAAAAGCTTTTTTTTTCTTTTTTGATAAGAAACAAAGATGAAAAAAGAAATTTAGTGTTTGCACTCATAAAGAAGCTTACCGTTGCAACAAATGATGCCATTCTACATTAAAATGATATTAGAACGTCCATAGAATGATAACATCCCTAACAACAACAACCAATTTGTTCCAACCAAACAATTTAAAGGATTAACAATAGAGCTAGCTAATAAAGCATGACATCAGAGAACAGAATTGTAAGCACAAATTCAGCATCTTTTAGTATTCCCCTATTAGGAAATTAAATTTTCCAACACCATAGTATTGACCTCATGAACAAATTTTATAATATAATGATAAAAATAAGTAAATAAATATAGAAAGCTACATTAAAGAATTGACAAACCAATACTTAACTTAACTAAAAGTTCAAGCTGTTTATGTAGTACACCGATAACTATTTCACAATAGCAAGCTGGAAAATTTTTACAACCCCAATCGATGTTCTAAACACAAGCTTTGGACTCTCAATAAAAGGCATGTACAAACATGAAAGACAATCATGAACCATATTGGAGTAATTTGAGAAAAAATATAACTGAAGGAACAGCAGAAACAATTTAAGTAACCAACCTCAAAAAATATTCCAAAAAGTGTATCAGGAATCTGTCGGGCTGATGCTTCTGAAGCATTTACAACTAGCCGGACAGGCTGGATGGTATCATCCCCAATGGCAAAGAATTTACTTACAGATGCAACGACAATTGCGAAGCATAGTAGAAGAACATAATATGAGACTTTACAAGAATCCATAACAAACAATCACTGCATCAAACGTAATTAAAACCAAAAAGGTAAGTCATCGAAACCCCAAAGAATATATTGATCAATTAAACAGTAAAAGGTCAAAAAGAGACAAAATCAATGAAGGAACAATAAAATGAACAGTATGGTAGCCCATCTACATCTATACAAACACACTGGCATGATAACAATGTAGTAGCGCATCAGTGGTAATTACAATAACAACAGGATAAGAAAAACTGATAAATTATTACATCTAATTTGATAAAACCAGTATTAAAGCAGACCACTAGAGACACAGTAGACAATATCAAAACCACGATCAAGCGATTAACTAACTAATGACCCTTGATGAAAATCACGTATAAAGAAATGAAATCAGAGAAGACTCATTTCAGGGAAAACGAGAAACCCAATTCACAAGCAAACCAGATTCTGAACATGATCATCAGATATATAACCAACACAAGTACTTCCAAATCAACGGGACCAATAAATGAACATTGTTCGATCCATGAACCTGCTGGGATTTTTCAGATGAAAGGGAAGTCCCACGATGAGTTCAAATTAGCAAAACTCGAATTGGGTTATGCCAAAATTTCTCAGTGAACCTCCTTATAAAGGCCAGAGACACCCCCAGACTGAGAGAGTTGCCCTGTTTTCCTTGCCTTCACGTAAAAAAATTTAAGAGAGAGAAAAAGAAAAAACATCTGGGTGTGGAGTGCAAGCAGAACCCTTCACTATTTTGAAGATTTCCTTCAATGGGTCCCGCTCCGTTCCGTCCCTCCTCCCCTCATTGACCTTTTAAAACATCTGGGTGTATTTCCCTCAAGATCGCTGTAAATTTCTGGAGTGTTTTACCAGAAGAACGCATAATTTGCCGTTTGTGTATAAGTAGAAAGAGAATACGTTGAACCAATGATCCCATGGCATTACCTCAAGCTTTTGCTTAAAGAAATGACGATGACGAACAATTGACGATGGTGTCAACGATCACATCCAAATATCGCCTTTTCTTTCTTTTTTTACTTCGAAGCCACAGCCACGTCTCCATCCGCATCGATTATAGCGAAAACTTCGACCCCACTTGGATTAAAAACTGGATGCAAAGATCCTGGTTTGGATTTGGAATTGAGTGTCCATGGAAGACTACGAAAGTTTTCCTTTCACTTCTCTATTCCGACTGAATTCCTTCTTTTAGTAATCTCACTGAATTCCTTATTACAGCGATCTCATCCACGGAAAAGTTGACGGCCCAATTTTAGAAATGTCGATGTAAATATAGTTGAATATTTTTAAATTAAAAAAATTTTGACAAAAAATATTAAAATTGATTTCACCCTTTTCCAAATAAGTTAGAAGAACAAGGAGGTGAAGGACCTTCTTATTCTAAATAAGTTTAAATTGTCCATGAACTTTAAAATTTTTTCATTTGGTTCATAAGTTCTTAAAGTTTGAAAATCAAATCGGAAGAAAATTCTTATTTTAAAAGATACATTGAAGTTTAAAGTAAACGTATTTTCAAAGATAATTTTAATATTTTTTAATACAACCATTTGATGATATGAAGGATTGAACCTCCAATTTCGAACGTCAATGAGGGAGTACATACCAATTACCATTTAATTAGGATCAGGTTGGCAAAAAAATTTTAATCCATTAATGAATAATATGTGAGTTTTTTTACAAGTGCAAAGATAGGAGTAAATTTTAAATTTTCAAACAAGATAATTAATGTTACATTCACTCAATTATGCTCAAATTACAGTAATATGTAAGTTTTAATATATAAATAATATATCTTCCTCAAAAGAGAGAAAAAAAGAATATATATATATATATTATAAATAATATATTACCAACATGAGTTTAGCTCGACGGTAATTAGCATATGATTATGACCAAGAAGTCACGAGTTCGAATCCCCAATCCAAATTGTTGTACTGAAAATATATATATATATATATATATATATATATATATATATATATATATAAGTGACTATAGTCACACGCTACAAAATTGAATTTAAAGACTTCTAAGATTGTGCCAAATTAGCCTAGATTCGTCAAGCTTTCTATTATATACAAAAAGTTGTATAAACCAAGGTTTTAAATGTCAGACATTTATCTAAAAGTTAGAGAAATTAAAAAATCGTAAAAAATATTCAAATTAAAGAATAAACATTTATCTATTTTTAAATAAGTTTAGAATGATTAATATTAATATTATGTAATATTAGTGACATTTTGTTGATATTTTTCACATTTTGTAGATTTTTTGTAATTGGATGAAAATGTCATGCCAACCTATGGATACATGAAAATATCATCAACATATCAAAGTGTCGACAAACATTTAATACTACTAGTGTATTACTACGTGCAATGCACGTAAAATTTTTTTTTAATTATAAGGTAACTTAAATTTTATATAATTTCACGTAAAATATTTTAAGTATAATTATTTTTAAAAATAATTAAGA